AACAAAACAAAAAGCACCAAAATTATTTATTATAAAACATAGAAGGATTAAGCTAATTAAAACATAATTTAGAAACAAAATTTTTGAACAAAATCTCACTCTCATGCCACTGTTCCAGCATCCAAAAAGAGGGAGAAAATAAAAAAATTAATCGGTTCAAAGTGTTCAGAATGATAAAAATAGACGGAATATTAAAAAAATTTAATGAACTTACTTGAAAATTTAAGAGATTAAGACCAAAGATGATCAAAGTTCCTTGAGAGAAAGAAAATGGGACTCACGGAAGTGAAGGGAAGAAATGGGAAACTTTAGAGACTAATCCTTATCTTAAATAGTGAAAATAATAATATAATATTAGAATTTTTACTAATTTTTTTGTAATTAATTGAAATAATTAGATAAAAATAATCATGAAATATATTAAACATAATTATAAAATAATTTTTGACACTCTTCCCCTTTTAATTTGTGCCAAAAAACAAAATTCTTTTTACACGCAAATTTCCACTCGCACGTATAACTAATTTACTTAAAACTAACCAGAAAATCCAAAAACTCAATAATTACCAAAAAATTATTTTTATACTCCAAATAATGTTTCTAACCCGAATATAATTTTTTTTTAAAAAATAAAATGTTATTTTTAGTCTCGTAAAGCAAATTTAACTGGTACAAATGGACACTTTTTGAAACTTAAAAATTTTAAAATTAAAAATTATCAAAAATTTCTTAAAAATATACCTAACAATTTTATCTAAAGCATATCATGTTAATTCTATCCCAATTTTCTCTAAAAAAATCGAGAATTATACTTTAACTTAGAACTCTATTAATAAATTAATCGTTTAGCAAAAACGAGAATATTACACTAGGCGCTGATGAGCACGTTGAACTATTCATGTGATTACTAATGGATGACATGGCCATATTATAGCTTGTAATTTATACTTCATACATTATAAATAGATTGAATGTGGAGACCTAGAATCAAAAGTTTCCATTTTAATTACATTGAATCAGGGAACAAACATGCAGCTAATGCAGAGCAGTTCTACTGAATGGTGCTGAAAACAAGAGTACAATAGTTCAATGAGTTAGAAGCAAAGCTTATGATTCGCATGCCAGCGTACCATGACTCTATCATAAAGCACAACAACTTGTTACAACATCATAATTGTAAAAGTACAAGGATTAAAAATAGAATCACATCTGAGATAGAAAGAAATTGGACATAAAACAACTAATACAAACACCAAAGCTAAAATTAAGAGGATAGCTTGATGAGTCGTTGACTCAGAGTAAATTGAAGCTTATAGCCCATTTCATTGCATAAATAATTTAAATTAATGCAAATTAATTGAAATATTTAGTGGAAAGATGTTATTGCTGGGAATGTAATGAATTGTTCAATTATTGATAGTTGACAATTGTTTTTAAAGGTATCAGAAGAGAAGCACAATTAGATTTAAAGAAAAGAAGTTGATTTGGTGCAAGACACATTTGTAAACACATGCATAACTGAATGTGGAGACACGAGTCTGACAGAGCATATAAAAACAAAATTTTCTGCTAAAGGCGACGACTTTTATTACACCTTTCATACATAAAATTCTAGGTTTTCCGTACAGTCTTATCTACAAATGTTATTCATTCCATTTTCTCTTTTCTTTTGTATGAAATTTTGATGGAAAGTAAAGCTTCATCCCTCCATTCTTTTGTTTTGTAATAGAACAGTGATTCCTATTGTAACATCCTTCTTTCATATTATAAATAATTTGCATTTAGCACTTATATTAATAAAATATGATTAAGAAAAAAAATTCAAAATTTGGTATAACTTTCAGAAATAGTCCAGTATGAGAATACAAATTAGAAAAATTGACGAATTTACAATATTCCTTCATCAATATACAAAAATATTCTTAATACAAGATTTCTCTTTGAAATTGAATGGAAATACATTAAAAGATTTTATATCTGAGCAGTTACTCTTCCCACAATCCTTGTCGAGTATGACCCTAGAACGAATCATCCTTCTCCCTTTTTCCTCTTTCATTACCTAAAACATTTCAATAAGGGTGGGTATTTCCCGCCCCACTAAGTCTCTTTTAATATAGATCACTTAATAATACTTAGAGTTATACTTAATACTTTATTCCAATTCATATTCAATCCTATACCAAATACACTCATGTTGACATTCAACACATCCAAATACATATAATCATACAAGCATCAACCAGAGCACATACAATATTTCAAACATTATACATTCAGTTCTACATTGGCCTGTATGTTATTATACACATATCCTATCATTTCAATTAATGTGTCCCAATACAAATGTCCTAGTAACACCCGTCGATATACTACAACACATATATCAAAACATCATAAATTGATCTGCTACGATACATATATCATAAGCACACATATACCATTTCATATCCCATCTATAACTCTTTCCACCATAACTGCCCCTAGGATCCCTTGAGGACTTCCTAGCATAGATAGCTGCTGGTTAGCCGCAACATCACGGATACACGTGTGTCGCCCTAGCCCTTTTTAGTAAAGGTATAGTCAGGAGCTGCGTCGGGAGATGAGGGTGTGGCCTGTGAATGTTTATTTTCAATAATTTATTGTGCACCCTTTTCGTTATTAACATTCACCATCCTCATTTCCCCAAGATTTTCCAAATTTTCTCCTTAACTCTATACCCCTAGTGTATCGCTGTACTATCTATACTTATTCCCTCATTCTCAACGTTATTGCACTAGACCAATAGACCAAGTTACACGGCTAAAAGGAAAGCGCTCGGCTCGAACCGGATCGGCTTACCTCACTTTCAAGCATCCACTGAATCAGAGATAGAGATCCTTCTTCTTTCTATTCATCAGCATGTCATGATTCATAAGTCACAATTTATATAAAGTCATGGATTATAATATACATGATAACACATCCTTCAATATGCTATAATTTATATCATAATCACTCTGTTTCATATTACCTGAACTCATGCATTATCATCACGCATCATGTTCTCATTCTCATTCATATATCACATACTTTCACTTTCATTCATTTCTATAGTTCTGATCATATTGCATAGATATTAGTCATTACTTTATAGTTACACTTATTGCATCATACTCAATCAACACACAAAGTGTCATACAATATCATGTCATGCAACCAATACAATCATCAATCTCATCACAGAGACTACCACACAATGTCACACCATACAATTAGTACAATTTGCTGAAGGTCGGACACCGTCAGACTCAGCCAAACTCGTAAATACCAATACATATATAGTCCCCTAACTTAAAGTTCATCATTATATATCTTTCATTGCTTAATCCATATACACTCTTAGAAACTTAGTTTTTGAAACCTCTTAAAGCTGTTCTAGCTCATATTTTTCTTTAAAACTCTGATATTACCAGTTCAAATAAACCCCAAACTTCTCTTGATATCAAAATACCCATGTTTATCATAGAATCACCAGATCTACATATCCATACATGTCTACATCTAGAAAATACTCCCCTTACCTGGAAATGAGTCCGAACAATAAGCTCTTCTGGAGCTCTAGGAAGGAACTCCATGTTTTAAACAGAAGAACTTCCCAAAAACTAGTGTCTCTCTAGTATCACCGAAAAGATCACCATTAGAAGGAGAAAAATCGAAAAATAGAAACAAGATCTAAAGGTTAGGCTTCGGAAACTTACCCAGATCTAAGTAGAATGGACGGTAGAGCTCAGATCCACAGAGATTCAGAGGTATTGAGGACTTTCTCTAGGATAGGGGAGGGAGAGAACAGAGAGATATCAGAAGAAGAGAAGTGGTTTTGGTGAGAAATGAAATATCTTAGCGTAGAAGTCCTTAAATACTCCTCAGACCTGCGCAATCTCGCTTGAGCAAGTGGGCTCTCGCTTGAGCGACCTCAAGCTCGCCTGAGTGAGATATGTAGAAAGTGATCAAGAACCTTCTTTTTTGATACGCTCCCTTGAGCGAGATCCACCTCGCTTGAGCAAGATGATGGCCCGAGAGCTGATTTCTCACCCTATGAGTCCTCACTTAGGCGAGACTACCTCGCCTGAGCAAGATCCTCTGCACCAGAAACACTCTAAACTCGTTTAATCTCCTTCCAATTCACTCCTAATCCTTTTTCAACACTCAATAACATCACAATACACATAAATTACAAAAAATTGAGAAGAGGATGTTACACCTATATTTTATAGCTTTCTATAATTTTTTGTTATACTAAACATAGGGTTTCATTCTGCAATATATTTCAGTTTTTCATTCCTTATCTCTAATATGTTTTGCTAATTTTATTAGGATTGAGAAAGGATAAACGTAATCTTTTACCCATTACAATGAACTAAACTGTGATTATAACTCAAATACAAGCTGCAATCTAACATATTTAATTTTGAACTTAATGTTTCCCTATTTTTTGTATTTAGGGTTGATGAAAAGAAGTTTAGAACTGAGAAGTTGTGATTTTTCCTAGTTTGGAATTAAACTACTTATTATAAATTATCTATAAATAGAAATTTATAATGATGTGGTCATAGTTGTTAATCTCGTATAGCGGCAAATAGCGGATAACCCCTAAAACGCTATAGCAGAATATCGTGTAGCGAAATTACCACTATTTAAAAATTTATAATATATATATATACGTGTGTGTGTGTTATATGCACAAAATATAAATATAAATACTAAAGAAATTTTACATAATCATTATTCCAAATAAATGTGCAAAACAATATAGCATGAGTGTTATTAAATAAAAAATATTTCCTAAGGATAAAGTTAAAGTTTAAAAGTAATTTATCCCTAACTCTAATCTAATCAGATTCTGTCTGTGATTGAAAATCCTCCTCTTCATTGTCATTGTCACTCTCTGCACTACTTGTATAGATGTGTTCTTCCTCTTCCTCTTTAGCTTCTTCGTCTATTTTTATTTCTTGCTCTTCATCTTACATAATATTCTTCTCCTTTCTAAAGTTAGAGATAGTAGCAGCTTTCTTCTTCAGTATTGTTTGTTGTCTAGTGTAAGCAATAGGCTCATCAGCCCCATTAGCTTTAGCAACAACTCCCCAAGTTAAATTATCATCATCAAAGACCAACTCATCTTCAGCAAGTTTTGTATTTTCTCCTCCCATTTCTCCAATCAACCACTCATTGCAATCATCAATATGATCCAAAAATATGGGATTAATCACATCACGACTGTTATAACGATCTAGTAGATTTTGATTGAACTTGATATAAGCCAAATCTTGCAACTTCTAGCTCTCTAATTTACTTCTCTTCTTAGAGTGAATCTAATTATTAATTAAAAAATATTAGTATCTTTTCTCAACCAATTAATATAAATTAAAAAAAACTATTAATTAAAACTTAGTTACTTACATGTTCAAAAATACTCCAATTTCTCTCACAACCCGATGAGCTACAAGTCAAGCTCAACACCTTAATAGCCAGCTTTTGCAAGTTTGGAACTTGATTTCCATAATTCCTCCACCATTCAGCTATAATGCCATTAAAATAATTGACATTATTTAATTAAAAAAAATAACAAACAACATTAAAAGGAAATCAAACTCTTTTGGTTTAAAACTTTAAACTAACCAAGAGCCAAAGTATACCTTTGTCTTATAGCTGCATTCAAACTAAAGATTCCATCAGCTCTTTTATATGTGGCCAGCTCCATTGTAATTTTATCCACCTCTTCTTCAAATCTACTCAATCTCTCGATGCACTTGTATAGTCCATGTGTCACTTCAGGATCAAAGACAATACTTGCATTGGAATAATAAAATTCGAGGTTTAAGAAATGATCAGCAACATGTAGTTGGTGATGAAGTTGACATTCCCACCTTCTATCAATGATCTCAAATACATTCTTATACTTCTCTTCATTTTTGTTGAAGGTTCTTTCAATGGCTTCCTTAGGACTATCCATTGCTTCATATATACCTCATTGCTGGCCTTTTTTCATTGTCTACAAGCTTTAGTACACGCACAAGAGGTCCCATCACCTTAAGAGTGTACAAGACTTCATTCCAAAATGTCGGCATCAATACAATGTCAGTTGCCTTCTTACTTTTAAGTTTCTTTGGCTGTTTTTTATTTTAACCAATCATTCGAAGTGAACATTTTTCTAAGGCTGCTTTTTTTGTTTTTGCAACCTTTGTAAAGTAAGGAATGTTGTTCCAAATCTAGTGACTTCATGCCTATTTAATTCCATTTTTTTTGTGAACTTTCTCATCAAGTTCAAAGCCAAGGAGTGGTTATATATGAATCCTACAAGAGAACAACCCCTTTGTATGGTTCTTTTGACTTTTGGAATCTTTCCAAGATCCTCCAACATCAAGTCCAAACAATGAGCTACACATGGAGTCCAAAATAGGTGTGGTCTCCTCGCTTGTAAATATTTGCCTAAGACAAGATTTTAACAATTTATTTAAGATAAAAATAATAAAAAATATTTTTGTGGTGTATAATACTTAAAAAAATAAAAACTTAAGTTGAAGTTCTGAGTTGTTACCAATAAAAAAATAGTTGCTACCGTTGTCGGTCACTATTTGGACAATGTTTTCATCTCCCATCTCATCTATAAAGGAATTTAACAGCTCAAACAATTTTTCTCCAATTTTTACAAATGAAGAAGCATCGACACTCTTTACGAACATTGTGCCACATGGACAATTTACCAAGAAATTAATCAATGTCCTATTCTTCCTATCTGTCCATTTGTCTAACATAATAGAGCATCCAAAGTTCAATCGTTCTACCTCCAAAGGTTTCATCATCTCCTTTGTTAGTTCTAATTCCTTTTTTAATAAAGGAACTCTCATCTCATAATAACTTGGTATTTTCAAGTGTGGACCATAATTTCCAATTGCTTCAACCATGAACTTGAAGCTTTTAGACCTCACCACATTAAATGGGATTGAGCTTCTATAGATGAATTTTGCAATATATTGAATTGTCATTGTCCTTGCTTCTTTATCGCAAGCATCTTTGATGCTTGTTTGCCTTTGATTGTTTTCCAATTTAATTGATGCTTCTAGCTTCTTCATGAGTAACAAATCTAAAGGACCTTTTACATTTTTTCCTTTCTTTACAGCAGAACCAACAGTAAGTGATTCACTTTTAGGTTACGGCCCGAAGGAGATGTATTTCTCAAACCTCTTCTTCCTCATCATCATCTTCTTTCAATTCATTAGATGTATCTTCTTCATTTTCAACCTTCTTTTGTTGGTACGCTTCAATGAGCTTTTTCTTAATCTCTAATGGAATTTTTTTACAGGCACCCACATCATCCCTTATCCCCATTTGGTGTCTTTTTGCTCTTGTAATTCTCCCTGTTGTGATTTTTAAACAAAAGTCACATGTAACACTTTTTTTGTTGTTAATATCTTTGAGGGTATTCCATTGCCAAGCAATGTCAATATTTTCTCAAGTGGGCTTCATAAGCCACAAGTAGTAATTGCAGAAGCTCCTTGCTTCTGTCCTTGTCGAGAAGATGCCATGGAATGGGACTAGAAATCTGGAACAACAAAGACCGTGAGTTGTAGAGTGCATAGTAGAGTGTAAGAAAAAATCAAAACATGAACAACAAAACACAATTTCAACTCCAAGACAGAGAGGATGAGCACAAAATCAAAGATTAAAGTCTTGACCAGAAAAACAGAGCATGACCAAACACCAGAGAAAACAAAATTTTATTTTTGCAAAACAGTGCATGCAATCATGAATGGAGAAGGAGAGTGTGAATAGAAACCAGAGCTTCAACACCAACAAAGCATGATGTCATGAATAAAGGAAGGAGCTTGCTGCATTGAACGAAAAACAGGGGAGATGGGCTGAAAATTTTTAATACTCTGGTGAACAGTGACGTCAGAGAGGAGAGGCCAGAGAAGATACACCGGAAAAACTTATTTGGGCGGCAAAATTGAATCGGTGAGCCGAAAAGAGGAGAGAAAGGGAGAAATCGCAGTTTCTTGTGCTTTAGAGTGGACTGCGGAGACGAAGATGGGAGATAGAAGATGGAGTTGTATTATATTTATAAGTTTTAGAAGGGGTCAAATGACATTTTTATCCTTAAAAAAAACAAAATGCAGTGTTTTAAAAAGCAGAAACGCATACCTTTACTAACCAATTAGGGTTAGGTTTTTTCCTTTCCAAAATCGCGATAGATGATATAGCTTTATCGAACACTTATCAAATGCACAAGGTTTTCGCAATTATTTCTAGAATAATGTCAACCAAGGTCGAATTCTCGAGGACACGTTTGTATCTAATTCTTCTTTGCCGAATTGTTAAAATGAAACAAAAGATTGGGGGATTTTGAAAGTTTAAGAATAATCTGATCAAACGCATAAAATTCTGAATAAAAGAGAAATCAAATGAGAATTAATTGATCCACAAGTCATAGGTTCATGCAAACAACATCCTTCATTGTTTCCCTAGTTTGAACATCTAATCCATTAACTAATTCAATCGAATTTGCTAACAAACTAGATTACGAATTTGACTAATAGATCTATCAATCTAATTCAATTTCATGAATCAAACTACAATCGCAGTTCAATTCAATTCCTATCCCAAACATTATCAATATCTTGAAAAACGAAAAAGAAGAGGAGAAAAGAGAATCCAAACTTGGAGCCACTCTGAATCTTCCTTGCAATTCCCTATTCCTTGTGTATCAATTCAAGAAGCCTAGCCTTCCACTGAATCCAATGCTCAGCCAAGTCAAGACGAGAGAAGAAGAAAAAAGAAAGAAGAAAACGAAAAGTCACACCAAGAGAAGAGAGAGAATTCGAGAGAGAATTTTAGGAGCCAAAACTGAATTTAAAAAAATGTGTAAAAAAAACAAAAACGTTTTCAAAGTGGAGCCTCTAACATATTAATAGGCACCACTTATGATCAGATCCAACACTAAAAGGAAGGGCCCATAAGTGTGATTAAACAGCCCAAATTACAAGCTAATGAAATGTTAATACAAATGAAATGAAATTACAAGAACAAAATTCGAATACAAAAATTCCTGCACAATTTTCCTAACTTCAAAAATTCATAGAAATAGAAAACAGCTCTAATTTGGACGATCTGCATATAAATTTTATAGCCTAGAAAATGAGGAATCCAATGCAACTGGAATCAGACCGAACGGACATCTATGGAAAAAGTTACGATCAAAACAGTGAGTGCAAGTCTAAAAACAGAATTTAGACATTAATTGAAATTGAGTTCCTATCATCTAATTAACTAGGAAATGCCATAATTTGTGAAATAAGGGAACATGAAAGGTAATTTACACACTCTAAAGGATTGAAAATGTGCACAAATAATGCATGCTATCAAATTCTCCCACACTTAAGACTTTGTACTCCGGACAAAGTATGGAACTCAAAATATCAATCGGTGGACAAAACTCAACCAAGCTCAATATTCCATGGCGATAATGAAAAATCAATCCACACACTCCAACTCAACAAGGTAAAACTCATCAAATCAATGCAAGAGAAATATATGTGGTAAAATCCTCTCAAGACATACTCTCAATCTCTCAAGTGTTTAAGGTAAAGTGTATCACTCAAGTGCACAATCAATGAAGCATGATCAAACTTAGGCTTGCTTATTGCCTACTTCTCCACTAGAATACACATATACACACAAAAATCAAGAGGTCTTACATAGGGTGTATTGGGGCTAGGATGAAGGTAGGAAAACCACAAGCGTAAGCAAGCTAAAACCAAAGAGGAAATAAGAACAATGGGGAATGAATGCAAAGAAAGTAAATGTGAAAGTAAGTCCCCTAAGTGAAAACATAATGCAATGCAATACAATGAACCAATCCTCAAATGGATATCATTGGCCTTCACTTTCCTCTATTTATTGCTTACTTTTTAGTTCCTTTTTCTCACTTTTTTTTCTTTTTTTTTATTTGCTCTCCTTTTTTGGTAATTTGGGGCTAAATTTATTTTTATTTTCCAAATCTTTTTTTTTTAAAAAAAACAAAACAGCTCCACTAAAACCTCCAAGCTACAAGATAAACAACACAAACAACCAACCAACCAAAATTGCATTTTCTAAGAGAATTCTCCCACACTTATTTCTATGATCATTCCCAAAACAATTCCAAAGTTCTTAAATCCCTAAGGTTGGGTCATGACATGTTTTTACACTTTTGGTTTGTAATGAGTTAAGATCACAAAAAAAATGGAAATATTAGGCTCAAGGGGGCTCAACAATGGACATAGTGCAAGGTTGGCTTCTTTTTTTTTTTTTTAGTAGCTCTCAAGAAAGAAACAATGCCTCTATCATTTAAATGCATGCATATGGAAATGTAATTTCAAAAAGGCTCAAGGCAAGTTCTAGAGTCACACAACAATGAGTGCAATCACACAATGAAAGAAAGCAAAATGACATGATGTTGTCATTTATCTCAATGGCCCAAAACCTCACAAGGTAAATATTCTACCACACATAATCCAACATACAAGATTCTCAAAGTCTACCTATCAAACTAAAGCATGATTTAATCAATCCATCAAAGCCATGAAAAATCACCTAATTGAGTTATGTACAACAATTACAACACACACAAACAAATGAAAACATGAAACACAAATGAAAAAAAAAAATCAAATATGTACAAAATGAGTGACATGATACACCCCCCACACTTAAAATCCACATTGTCCTCAATGTATACACAATAAGCCAAAAGACAATCCAAACAATACAAAAGTGAGGGAGTTGAAAGAAAAAACTCCCCAAGAAAAAACATGCCCTCTAATGTGCAAAAGTTGCTCATCCGGAAAGGTATCACGAATGGGAAGATCCTCAAGTGGCTGCTGAATTCTGCTCAAGTGATCCGCCACTAAGTTCTCAGCCCTGCTCCTATCTCTAATCTCAATATCAAATTCCTGCAAAAGAAGCATCCAACGAATCAATCTAGGTTTAGAATCAGACTTCTTAAGCAAGTATCTCAAAGCTGCATGATCAGAGAATACAATCACTTTAGAGCCTAGCAAATATGAATTTATCTAAAGCAAAAACAATAGCTAAAAGCTCTTTCTCCGTGGTAGTGTAATTCACTTGTGCTCTGTCCAAGGTACGAGAAGCATAAGCTATGACATGAGGTTGCTTCTCCACTCTTTGGCCAAGCACAGCACCTACTGCAAAATTTGAGGCATCACACATGAGTTCAAATGGAATTTCCCATCTAGGTGGCTGAATGATAGGTGTGGAAGCGAGGCTTCTCTTCAACTCATCAAAGGCATCCCTACAAGCCTGCTCAAAGACAAAGTCAGAATCCTTTTGTAAAAGAGTGGATAATGGAGATGCAATCTTGCTAAAATCTCTAATAAAGCGCCTATAAAAACCTGGATGACCTAGAAAAGAGCGTAATTCCCGCACACATGTGGGGTAAGGTAAAGAAACAATCACATCAATCTTAGCTCTATCTGTCTCAATGCCCCTATGTGAAATCACATGCCCTAATACAGTCCCCTCATTCACCATAAAATGACACTTTTCATAATTCAAAACCAAGTTGGACTCAATGCACCTATCTAAAACTCTAGACAAGCTATCTAAGCAAGAATCATACGAAGACCCAAAAACAGTAAAATCATCCATAAAAACCTCAAGGGAATCCTCTAAGAAATCTGCAAAAATGCTCATCATACATCGTTGAAAAGTACCGGGTGCATTACAAAGTCCAAAAGGCATACGTCTATATGCAAAGGTGCCAAAAGGACATGTGAAAGTAGTCTTATGTTGATCTTCTGGGGCTATGTGAATCTGAAAATAACCAGAAAATCCATCTAGAAAACAGTAATGAGACTTCCCTGCTATCCGCTCCAAGACTTGATGAATAAAAGGCAAAGGGAAGTGATCTTTGCGGGTGGCCACATTTAGCTTCCTATAATCAATGTAAACACGCCACTCATTCTGAATTCTAGTGGGAATCAATTCATCTTGCTGGTTCTTCACAATGGTTATGCCGGTCTTCTTGGGTACTACATGTATAGGGCTCACCCATTCACTATCCGAAATGGGGTAAATAATGCCGGCAGCCAGTAATTTGCTTACTTCTTTCTTCACCACCTCTAGAAGAGTGGGATTCAATCTCCTTTGGGGCTATCTCACAGGCTTTGCATCATCATCTAGCAAGATCCTATGCATGCAAGTAGATGGACTAATTCCTGGAATGTCGGTCAGAGTCCAGCCTATTGCTTGTTTGTGGGCTGCCAAAGTCTGCAACAACTTTTCTTCTTGTGCAGCATCCAAATCTGTAGAAACAATCATAGGTAATTTATCATTAGTCTCTAAAAATGCATACTTCAAATGTTTGGGCAAAGGTTTCAATTCAAGTGTAGGTGGTTGCACAATAGAAGGAAGTGTTCTAGTGGAAACATCCAAATCTCCAGCAGCACATGTGGGAGCAGTGTTAGGTGTATGTGTACTTGCTGTAATCAAGCCAAAGCTTCCTAAATCTGCTCCTGCTGCATCATCAAATGAAACATCATTATCACCTAACAAGAATTCATCAATTTCAGCACATACTTTACATAATTCTATAGAGGTACATGTACAAGAATAATCATCAATCAATGCATCAGAATATTCATCAACTAATAAATCAATGATGTCTACATGGTATACACTATGCAACTCTGTAGGATGTTTCATGGACTCAAAAATATTAAAATGCATAACATCATCACCAAACTCCATGGACAGAATTCCTGAATGCACATCAATCTTTGTCCTTGTTGTTTTAAGGAATGGTCTACCAAGGATCAATGTGGGAATGCTAGACTCTTCTGCCATGTCCAGAATATAAAAATCTGCAGGAAATATCAACTTATCCACTCTTACAAGGACATCTTCCACTACTCCAGTAGGGTGTGTGGTACTTCTATTTGCCAATTGAATGACTACACCAATTGGCTTCAATGGACCAAGGTTTAAGGACCTATATATTGATGTAGGCATCACATTGATGGAGGCACCAAGATCAAGTAAAGCATTGCTGAAGGTGGAATTCCCTATGGTACACGGGACTGTAAAAGTACCAGGATCCTTGCATTTTTGTGGAAGGTTTGGTTGAATGAGGGTTGACACATTTCTGCCCATGCTAATCCTCTCATCTCCCTTGAGTCGCCTCTTGTTGGTGCACAACTCCTTGAGAAATTTTGCATATTTCGGAATCTGTTTTATGGCATCTAGAAGTGAAATGTTCACTTCTACTCTTCTGAAGGTGTCAAAAAGCTCCTTGTCAAGATCTGTTATTAGCTTGGGCTTAGCCACTCTATTGGTAAAAGGGAAGGGACAACAAGGGACAACAATCCGAAGCATGCTCAATGGAAGAACATATTTGACAATCTCTCGGCCTTTGTGGTGCAGCTTGTTGGGCAACAGTTAGCTGCCTCACAAATGTGGTAAGCTCTTCGATTCTGCTCTCAAGTCTATTCTCTGCTGGCATATAGTTAGGTTGATGGACATTGTGAACCTCTCTCATAGGTGTCATGGCTCTTGTGCTAAACTGTTGAGAGTTCTCTGCCATGTTATCAATCAAAGCCCTTGCTGCACTAGGTGTCTTATCCATCAAGGCTCCACCACTAGCTGCATCAAGCATACTCCTCTCCATTGGAGCAAGGCCTTCATAAAAGTATTGAATGAGTAACTGGTCACTAATCTGATGGTGTGGATAGGTGGCACACAACTTCTTGAACCTCTCCCAGTACTCATACAAACTCTCTTGGGAGATCTGTCTAATGCCACTTATCTCCTTTCTTATAGTTGCAGCTCTGGATGCAGGGAAGAACTTCTCCAGAAACATCCTCTTCATGTCCATCCAGCATGTGACAGACCCTGGCTGCAAGTAATACAACCAATCCTTGGCTGCTCCATCCAGTGAGAAAGGAAAGGCCTTCAGCTTGATATGATCTTTAGGAACTCCCTACGGCCTCATGGTCGAGCACACTATATGAAACTTCTTAAGGTGTTTGTGAGGATCTTCACCTGCACTACCATTAAACTTAGGCAAAAGGTGGATTAGTCCAGACTTAAGCTCAAAAGGAACATCTATATCAGGATATTGAATGCCTAATGGTTGGTAGGTAACATCAGGTGCAGCTAACTCCTTAAGTGTTCTCTCGTGATTATTATGTGCCATGGTATCAGAATGAGTGGACAATGTATCAGAAATAGAAGTGCCAAATTCAGAATCACTAAAATAAGAATCACTACTCAAATCAAATCTATAGTGCTCTCTACTATGACTCTTATCACTACTACTATGATGCACACTACTTTGACCTCTCTGGAGTCTATGATATGTCCTATCTATCTCAGGATCAATGTCAAACAAATGCTCAGACCTGGACCTAGTCATACAAGATCACAAACATAAAAAACAGCAAGCACACAATGCATGAATAATGTCACTTTACAAAGCAAGTACCAAGAAGAGGTGGGAAAATTGAAATATAACTTGATGATAAATCTATTTTTGATGTAAGATGACACCACAAAAAATTTCATATTTTTTTGAGCACGGTAACTAGGTCAACTGGATGCCTAAAATCAAGAAAAATAGGTCAATAAACACTAAAAAATAAAAAATCTTTTAGAAAACGGGTGATTTTTGAAATTCTGGGCAGCCTCAATTGATTATGGGGTTGCATTGAATAGGAAATTTTTTTCTACCCCAAATGCATATGCAATATGCTCAATTTGGAGTTTTCTAGCAAAAGTTATGCCATTTTGAAGTTTCACAAAAATTTTCTTGGTCACCGAGATGCATCTCCTTGTGTACAAAAGCTTTTTCAAATCTACTAACTCTACACACTAATATACACTAAATGTAATGTGGACACAAAAATTCAGGTCAAAATTCGACCATTTACTATTTTTTTGGGATTTTTCAAAATCTGATGAATAGTGCAATTCAGCAAGGTAAACACGATTTCTACTACTTCTCTGTTTTTGGTTTCTACTAGTCCTCTATTTTCGCAGGAAGCACACAGTATTGAACCAAAATGCAACTAATTACTCACTCAAATGCAAATCGAATTGAACTCAATTGAATAATGGAACATGCAATCAAACACAACACAATTGAACAACAAAACAACAACGATTCCTATTACTCCTCTATTTTTCTGATTTCTGTTTTCAGCATGCATACAATACAACATACACAAAATGCTATTGGATTTAATTACACACTCAAAAACACAAGTCAACCAAATCAAATGCAAATCAATGCATCACAAATACAGAATATAATTCTCACAGAATGAAGAACACTTGAACACAGAACACAGAAACTATCAAAATCGATACAACACACAGAACGGAAATGCTACACAACTAACAACTCGAAAATGAATCAAAAGCTACAACGTGTCCCCGGCAACGGCGCCAAATTTGATATAGCTTTATCGAACACTTATCAAATGCACAAGGTTTTCGCAATTATTTCTAGAATAATGTCAACCAAGGTCGAATTCTCGAGGACACGTTTGTATCAAATTCCTCTTTGCCGAATTGTTAAAATGAAACAAAAGATTGGGGGATTTTGAAAGTTTAAGAATAATCTGATCAAACGCATAAAATTCTGAATAAAAGAGAAATCAAATGAGAATTAATTGATCCACAAGTCATAGGTTCATGCAAACAACATCCTTCATTGTTTCCCTAGTTTGAACATCTAATCCATTAACTAATTCAATTGAATTTGACTAATAGATCTATCAATCTAATTCAATTTCATGAATCAAACTACAATCGCAATTCAATTCAATTCCTATCCCCAAACATTATCAATATCTTGAAAAACGAAAGAGAGGAGGAGAAAAGAGAATCCAAACTTGGAGCCACTCTGAATCTTCCTTGCAATTCCCTATTCCTTGTGTATCAATCCAAGAAGCCTAGACTTCCATTGAATCCAATGATCAGCCAAGTCAAGAAGAGAGAAGAAGAAAGAATAAAGAAGAAAATTAAAAGTCACACCAAGAGAATTCGAGAGAATTTGAGAGAAAATTTTAGGAGCCAAAACCGAATTTAAAAAAATGTGTAAAAAAAACAAAAACGTTTTCAAAGTGGAGCCTCTAACATATTAATAGGTACCACTTATGATCAGATCCAACACTAAAAGGAAGGGCCCACAAGTGTGATTAAACAGTCCACATTACAAGCTAATGAAATGTTAATACAAATGAAATGAAATTACAAGAACAAAATTCGAATACAAAAATTCCTGCACAATTTTCCTAACTTCAAAAATTCATAGAAAATAGAAAAAAGCTCCAATTTGGACGATCTGCATATGAATTTTATAGCTCAGAAAATGAGGAATCCAATGCAACTAGAATCAGACTGAATGGACATCTGTGGAAAAAGTTACGATCAAAAAATGAGTGCAGGTCTAAAAATAGAATTTAGACATTAATTGAAATTGAGTTCCTATCATCTAATTAACTTGGAAATGCCATAATTTGTGAAATAAGGAAACATGAAAGGTAATTTACACACTCTAAAGGATTGAAAATGTGCACAAATAATGCATGCTATCAATAGACACGCAATCTTCCATCCCGTAAGCTGGCGACAACAAAACTGCTCCGCATTGGAACTGTCATGGCGGCCGACGTCCGCGCCGCACCAGCGCAATGGCGCCAGTATCGCGCGCTATTAACAACTATGGATGTGGTCTTATTGATTTATAAATTTAATGTCTATCATCTTCTTGTTTACTTAAAGAATTAGGAAGCTAGAATTGGTTTAGAACCAATCAACTAAGGAATTGGTATTGAATACAGTAGGTAAATCGGGATTCAAGTTGTGAATCGTAAGACCTATTTTTTGAATTGTGAATCGAATTGTATCTTGAATCTTACGATTCAAGATCAATAATTTAAAACATAAAAACTATAAATATACGAGTATTTTAATGTAAAGAAACATCAAAACATCTAATATCTTAACATTTTGAAGTCATATAATATGTACCTAACAAAAAGAGGAGAAAAAAATAAAAAATAGGAACTGCTGCAATGGTAGAAGGGACCACCAAAAATCTTGAAAAGGAAAGAAGTGAACAAATGCAGAAAAATCTGATTTTTCTGGTGAACAGAAAAATAAATATGCCAGAACTAATTTCTCCAGTGGACAAAAAAACAGAAGGGACACTGGAAAAGATTATTTCTCTAGTAAAATGGAGTAGATGAGCCTCCAAATTAGTTGATTTCTCAGGCAAAATGGAATGGGTGTGCCGGTGAGAATGGGAGAAACCGCTATGCAGAGATTAAAATTTTCACAGAGAGAGGAGAGGGTGGGGAAGATAAAATTAACCCATATGTTTTATAAAGCGATAATGACCTTTTCACCCTTAAAAAAATAATCCAAATGATGTGTTTTATAAAAAATAGGCTTAATTATGTTTTTTGTCTCTATAAATATAAGCATTTTTGTGATTAGTCCCTACAAATATTTTTGTTAAAAAGTGGTCCTTCTAAAGTAGAAAATTAGAAAATGATCCCTACCGTTAACCCCCTTCTGTTAAGTGCTGAGCTGGTTGACAGAGAGCCAACTCAGCACTCTACGTGGGGCCATGTGGCCTAATAATTTCTTACGTGACATGTCACGTCATTTATTATTTTATTTTTTTAAAATTTATTTTGCAAATAAATCCTTAAAATTATTTTATTTAATTACGTAAAAACTCTTTCCCATTTCTCATCTTTCTCCAATCTTTTATGTCATCTCATCTTTCCTCTACCCCTATCTCTCCCTCTTCTCCCACCTCTACTCCTCCACAATCTCTTCCCTTTTTTTCCCCACACCCCAAAACCCAAATATGCAGGAGAGGTAATTATAGGATTTGATCCACAAAACGTATCGATCAGAACTTACACATGTATTGATTTGAAAACCCCTTAGCTCAACTCACTCTAATGCCACTGGGATTTGCAAATGGGATAGCTCGTATAAATATATAACATGTAGATGATTGCAATACCTTGCAGGTGTGTTGATATGCACATTTGCAATTGCAAAAGCAAGTCCAAGCCTCCTTAGTCGCAGGCTACCTTTTTAATATTGAGTAATGTTAGGTTGAGAGAACGAGGAAAATGAAAATAATTTAGTTATTATTTTGATTTTAGTTTTATTTATTTCATTTTTAAATCAATATATTTACTATATAATTTTAATACATTTTCTGTGTTCCAATCTCTGCATTCGCCATTCCATCCCCATTTGACGTGGATAGGGTGTTGAGGAGAGGTGGGTACTTATGGTTGGACCACTTTTTCAGCAAAGGTTTGGATCTTGAGAAAGTGTATGCGCTTTTGATTGGGAAATTGGGATACAAGAAAGTAAAGTGGGCGACGGGGAATTAAACCGATGATGACGGTATCAAGAATGGGGAAGTTTACTTGACTGCGTTGTTGTAGAAGCCTGTGTCTAGATGAGGTTATGCACAAAGGTAAGAACTTTTAATCTCTAATTTCACACTTGAAAATTTGTTTTCTCATCAGCTTCAACGTTTTGATGGGTAATTATTAAAAAATTGAAATTTGTGAGTAATTGGGCATGGGAGGAAGAAGGGTTGGGATTAGGGTGGAATGGTTACGGAAAGCGGAGAGAGAGAGGGGTTGATTGAGGAAGAAGAAGGGTTTATTTATAAATATATAAAATAAGTTCACGGGTTGATTTGTAAATTTTAATTAATTAATATAAAATAAAAAATTTAAATGACATGGTAAGTCACATAGGCTGTGACTAGGCTTCTTCGCAGCGCCACGTGGAGTGCTTAGCTAACTTTTCGTTAGCCAGCTTAGTACTTAATAGAAGAAGGATTAACGGTAAGGACCATTTCCTAATTTTCTACTTTAAAAGGAATAACAAAAATATTTGTAGAGTCTAATCACAAAAATGCCTATATTTATAGGGACCAAAAATATAAATAAACCTGAAAAATAGAACAGAGTTTCTTTCTTTCCCCCAAATCACCAGATTGTGAACATCTCCCTGTTTTGGCCGTGAACGTCCGCACTGCCGAGGTGCCAAACGCCCTACGATGTGGCAGCAGTGGTGGCTGACGGTTGCATTGCTGCGATTCGAGCGTTACCCAGCTTGCAAAGGAATCGTGTGCCGCCATCCAGATTCACAATTTAGCCCGATACATAAGATTCAAGCTATTCCGGCAACAGTTCAAAGATTAAATCGATTCTGCCATACGATTTGTATCTCTGGACTACAGAATCGAATTGTTAGTATCTATCGTGAATCGTACGATACTAACTACACTTATAGTAAAAGATCTGGCCATAAGATTGGATGTGTTTTAGGTTATATATAAAATTTCATGCAAGGGGAAAGGGTTGCGTTTTTCACACAAAATTACAATTTATGACACCAGTTTAAGACTCCATGAAATAAAACCAAAATCAAAATTAATTTCTAGTAGAAATATGACATAGAATAACATAAAATAAACACAAATTCGAATTAAGTCGATAACTGTAAATGTAAAACTCATATTCATTACCATAAGAACTCCATATATTTTATCTGTTGTCCAAGCAAACTGCAAAATGAATACCATAATATTTTTTCCTTAAAATTGAAGAGAAAAAGCCATCGAAGATTTCTAAACCGTGTTGACTCTCCTACTAATGTTAATAAATTATCAAACGATTGCGTATAATTTTCTCAACTAGACTGAAAAACAGTTCTAGGGTCAAGAACCAATTACTACAAAGGATAAGATATTTGTGAATGCGGTTTTACGTCACTTGTTTATAAATTGTTATGATGAATCGATGATATCATATAACAAAGATGGATTATTTCAAAATATTAAATCCATAATTAATTAATACCAGATCAACCAAACTGTATAAGAAAACGAAGAAACAAAAGTGATTAAAGAGAAAACGGGATAAAGATGAAAACCTAAAGCGTGTAGCGTGTGTTAATTTACCTTTAACAGTGTTAAAGGTTAGAAGCGGAAAAGTTGAGAAACTTAAGCTCTACGTCAGAATTAATTAGTGAGTCACAAAGTTTGAGTTTTGGGGCATCCAAATGGTTGGGTTGTGGTGTTCAAGTCAGGGTCCGTTATGAGTAAAATTTCCTTTTAAATTGGAAATAAGAGGATCTCATTTTCCTTCAATTTGCGCGTATGTTGCTTCTTTTTCTTCACGGATCAGCCGCACACTAGCGTTTCTAGAAGTCTTCTTCATATCTATTTGCCGACTTCAATTTTATCGTTAGTGCCGTCTGTGTGAATTGGAGCTATAGCACCTTCTCATACCTCACATCTGAATCTATTCAACATTCACATTGCTCATCATCCATTACTCATTTCACATTTCATCTTCAATTGTATGCTTCTATTAATCGAGGAGTCCTTGTGATTGTGATGCTTCTTTTTATTTTATATTTTTCAGACTGAAAAAATTAAGATGTTTTTTTGTTTAAGGGGTGTTTGTTATCCAAAATGTTTTAACTTTCCCCTTAAAAAGTTTTCTTACCCATATTCAATATAAGATACAGAAAAATATTTCCAAAAAATGTGAGATTCTCATAAAACTTAAATTGTGAACAAATTAAAATTTTTATTTTCTCAGCTCAATAGGTGGTATCTTTAACTTTTTCAGAAATTTGAAATTTTTAGATAAAAATATCCCCTTTTATCCTACTTCACTCTACCAATTTCAAATCATTTTTATACTCTCTCTTCTCTCTACTTCCCTGGTTTCTCTCACACACTCTCTTTCATAATTGTTCTGCTCCTACTATTTGATAAGCACGTGCCACTGATGTTGATTCCATTTATTTGTTGCTGCTGTCCTAGTTTTAAGGAGTCAATCAGGATCTTTTAGGTATTTTTGTTTTCCCCGGCTTATTCTTAGGAGCATGTTGTTAGTGGGCAGTTATTTTTTAAGCTTTATAAACTGTAATGTTCATGATATTAAAAATGCAGTTCTATCTTTCTCCTTTGATATACATTTTGTTCTCTGTTTTAGCAGCTGTGTTTTTTCCTTTTCTTGTAAAAATTACTGACAGCCTCTATTGCATATTTGCTATCCCTGTCGGCAGCAAGTAAATGGGAGGGGTAGAGGCACCAGGTTATGCACACATAATCCTCTATTTGGCTCTTTCTGATTCACACCTCTCAGTGATCAATGCGAATGCACCATGATTTGGTTTATGCATATAAAATGTGGTTCAAAAGGGGTGGGGCAAATTTGGTCATATTGATTTCAATGCATAATATTAACGCAGCAAAGGGTAGTATCATGAGCAGGCATTATGATTGGCACGTTACCTTATACAAATCCAGAGAAGAATAAGTCCACGATCGTAGTTTGCTGTATCCATCATGGAACCTGGCAGGACCACTCTCCAATCTAAAAAACAAAGAACATAAGAACAGTTACCAAAGTATAACAACGCAAAACATCTAATTAGGTTGAAAATGTGAAGTAAAGGAGCATACTGAGAGAAGGCAAGGAGATGATTGGCAATCTCGGGCTCGAGAAGGGAATTAATGGGTTAAAACAAAAAATATCATCAAATTCAGATCATCCAACAAAATGAAAATAAACAATTCTAACACTCCCAAAAATTAACATCCTAAAAATACTATATCTTCAATTGCAATAGCACCACTCTCGTCATTGTCATTTGCACAGTTACCATGATATAAAATTAAGATTTGATTATATTAATTATAATATCAAACAAATTAATAACTTTGATTTTATAAATAGTAATTTTAATTCTAAATAAACATTACATAAGAAATCGTGTTCACGTAAGAAGAAAAAACAAAGAGAATGTAGAATTCTAACATGGGTTTGAACCTAAATTGATCCCACTAATTAAAAAAGTCTAAATTTATTTGGGTCTTCAATTGTAATACTCAAATCTTCGTCTTCTTCTTCTGTAGATATGTTCAAATTTACTCATCAGGTAAACATTTACTCCACATACTGTTTATGAGATTCGCTTAAATTTTATTTTAAAATTGCAATAATTTAATGGCATTGGTTTTAAAATAAGTAAAAAACATTAATTGTATCAAAATTACAAAACAATGCAATCAACAATATTTACGCCAATCCCATTTTTTGTTATTTTTTCAATATAACTGTATTAGTAATATAGCAATTAATATAATATTCTCATTAAACATTGACTTATTAGCTTATTTTTTGCATTTATATACTCCTGCATCAATATTTTAACATGTTTTATAAATTAATAAAGCTAATCCTAATAAGTCGATTAATTAAAAGCAAGTTTTATTAGCCCAAAGAATAACCCAACTAATCACGAACCTACCTTTTCAGATGTAAAATTTTAAAACCAACACTAGTAATATGCGTTGGTCCAATAGATTCATAGTGTGTTTTGACTAGCGTTAAACTTATGTAAACATTAATAATTGTAATACTGAAACGTGGTTATTAAAAGCTTTTAAATATACACTCAATTTATTTTTACAAAAATATTTTAAATATAAATCATGCATAAAATTTTGGTATTTTTTCAATAGTTTTAAATAAAATATATTGTTGATCCGATTTTATATTGATTATTATAAAATCAACAATTCTTATTAATATAATAATTTATAATTTAAGAGAACATAAAAATTTTTATATTCTCAATATATTTAAATTAAATTATTTTTATAATAACTTTTTATTTGAAGTTATTTTTTATTTGAAATTTAAACAAATTAAATTAAGAAAATAATTATAGAAATGGATATTTCTATTTAAAAAAAGAGAGTACCGAAAAAAAATCTCAAACATAATTGTGTACATTGACAAAAATAAAAGGGTATTCATGAGAACTGTTTTACATTAAATTTTGATTTTAAATATGTATATTTATATTTATATGTACTTAAGAACCTAATTTTAATCTCCCAATTTATATTAATTTTAAAATATTTGATTTTAATATTTTAAATGTCTAATAATAGTGTGATTGATTAAAAAACTATCGCATACTATATTTTTTTCTATTAAGTTGCATCATCACTAAACGTAAAATATTCAATTTAAGAAATTATTGACTAAAGTTAAACTTTCACAAAAATATAAGGATAAGGATATACTTAAATAAATTTTATAAACTAACTTTGAAAATAGCAATTGAAGTGTAATATATATATATATATATATGTATCACTATTAAGTTGTTGCTGTATTTTTTAATATAATTTTTAAGGAATTGAGTTTCTTTGAAATGGAAGAACTTGTAAAATAAGAAAAAAAAACGTTTTAAATTAAGTATTTTATTAACGTAATTAATTTAAATTAATAATAAATAAATTTTAATTATCTATAATATAAAATTTTAGTTTTTTGAATCAGTGGAACTACGTAGAATGATATTTTTGGGATCAATGAATCACACTATGTCAGACGATTCTACACATTTTAATTTGGACTTCACTTATTATCATAATCAAATTAAAGCGTTGCTTTGAAAAAAAATAATTTAAAAAAGTAAATATTTTTCAGGATAAAAATTTATCGTCAATTACGAACTACTAAACAATCGCTTCTGTTAACGCATTTTTTCAACACATCTTATGACTATATTTAGCTATTTTAATAGTAATTACTATTTTTCAATATAATTTTTTAAAAACATTTTGTATTTGATTTAAATTTTATGACACTTGTGATAATGTATATTTATTAGAAAATAATAATTTTATTGGTTGAAAAAAGAATAATGATTAAAGAAACATAAGTAAGGAATTTTTATTATAAGAAAAATATTTACCATACTAAATATACAAAAAAAAAAATTCAATACACACTTTTAAGTAATTAAAAATAATAATAAATGAAGGCATGTGGCCCTATGCTCAGAGCGTTTAATAAACATATTATTTGTTCATAACTGAGATATTCATGCACGTTACAGGTACATTCTGATTTTTATACAGAACTAAGAATTGAAATAGTGTAACATCCTCTTTTTCATTATTTAGTAAATTATTTTTTGTTTAATATTAATTAGTATTAGAATACATTTAAAAGTGAGAATAGAGAATTTTTAAAAGAATTTTAGTGCAGGGAGTCTCACTCAAGCAAGGCAAACCCCTCTTTGTAAAAAACTGAGAACATTATTTCTACACCACTTACATATTTGACATAGATAAATAATAGAAAATATAAATATAAAATTCACTTTTCATTCAAAATAAACAGAATTTTTTATGACAAATATCTAACAGAACAACATAATATTACATTTAATTTATAATACTCAAAATACACAAAAATTTTACTACA